AAATGCCCTGAGACAAGGGAGTTTGGGGCCTTGGGGAACTGTAAAGTCCTTCAGTGGGAGGTAATTTTAACTTGGATTCCCCGAGGGGTGCAAAGGGTTAATGTGCTCTATTGCTAACCAACATAATGGTGGTTCAAGTCCACAGAGAGGCACCTTGGAAGAAAGGCCTGGTGATTTACTTCTGAAAAATTAGCCACTAGCAACTATGGAGCACAGATCTACTCTGGCATATACAGTTGCCATGAGTCAGGGTCAGTAAGGGAGCGATGCCATCCTCTGGCAGATCGCAAAGTGGGGGATGGAAGGACCCAACCAGAAGACTGGGGCCTCATACAGCCCTGCACTGGCTGTGTTCCCTTACAGGTCTGGAACAATGATGGGGTATGTGGCTCATCCTGACTTCTAACTCCGAGTTCCTGGGAAGATGAGGACATGGAGTTGAGGGGCATAGCCTCTGGGCCGCAGTGAGTGAAGTCCCAGGAGTGATGGGATGTCAAGGTGGGAAGCCTGAATGAGGGAACCATCCACTCCACAATGGAGAAGACCCCTCAAAGGTCCTCTTACTGGCAGCTCTGGGAGGTCTCGGGCTGAGGTTTCAGGTTAAGAAGTCCCTTCATTTCTGCCTGGAGAATCTCGGGGATAAGAGGGCTCTGGCTTACTTGAGGGTGCCTGCAGTTGTACAGAGGGAGGAGGCCCAGACCCTAAAAGTGTCAAGGTGGAAATCTAGTTTGGGATGTGAGGGAACCAGTGACTAGAATTAAGGGAGGGCCAGAGGACCCCACACATACTCTCACCCTGGAAACCCCACAGTAACTCAGGTGAACTGCCTCTGCATTTCCACCTGAAGGGTCTCACAGAGTTCAAAGTGTTATATGTATGGGAAGCTGCACTTCTGCAGAGAGAAAGGAGACTCAGGGACTAACGAGTCAAGGTGAAGACCCTGTATGTGATCTGAGGGGATCAGCCACCTCAGAAAAGGGGAGATGGCAAAGAGTCCTGCCCCTCCACTGCTTGTCTTGATGGGAGGCCTCAGGAATGAGGTTAGGTGGATTTGAACTCTCCTTTTTAAAAAAAAAAAAATTTATTGTGATTTGGGTGAAAGTTTACAGAGCAAATTCATTTTCAGCAGTTCATACACATTTTGTCTCATGGTACTGACTGCAATTTCCCACAATGTATCAGCTCCCTTCTCACTTCCCCCCCATA